ATATATATATATCCTGAGGCTATTTTTCCATTGCTTTTAGATAGAGTGGAAGGGAGAAGAAGTGGGGCAGAGAGAGAGAGAGAAACATTGATGTGAGAGAGACAAATCTATTGGTTGCCTCCCACAAGCGCCCCACCAAGGCCAGGGAATGAACCTGCAACCCAGGTACATGCCCCTGATCAGGAATCGAACCCACAACACTTCAGTTCACAGACCGACACTCTAACCACATAGCCACACTGTCCACACTGAGCCACGCTGTCCATGACTCATAATGTACTTCTTAATATAACCACAGCTCTACATTCTGTATGGAATTGTTAGCCTCATCCAGTGCCTTGTGCCAGACCATTCCAATGGGAAGGATCAGGGATGATATCAACCATTTCTTATGAAATGTTTTGCTGTATCATCATAGCATGAATTTCAAATGGCTCATCCCAGCTGGAACCAAGAGAAACACCCTATGGTCAGCATTACAGAATATGATGGAATAGCTTGAATGTCTCATATAAAACCCAAACTCTCTGAATTGGTTGTGATATATTTGAATTAAATTTTGAAGTTTATACAAAACTTAGAAAAAAGAAAACTTACATTCATGGCTACAGGGTAAATACTGTGACTGATTTTTTTTAAATATTTTATTTATGACACTTAATAGGAAGAAGGAAAGGTGATATGGATTCTGGCTTTAAAATGTCACTTTTTGACTGATGGTCTCATGACCTAAGCCAATGTAAAATCATCTTAGGAAGCATTAGCCTATTGATTGGGGTGATAACTTCTTGGAGAAACAGGGTAGATAGAAGGAGGGAAGCAACAGAGCTAAATAGTGATTGGTCAGTTGTACTGTATTGGGTACTAATTGCAAAGCAATGCAGAAAATAAAAATAAGAAAATACACAGGTGGGCAAAAGTAGGTTTATAGTTATGAGTACACGAAACACTGTTCTTGTATTATTTATTATAGTATTATTTATTTGTATTACAACTGTAAACCTACTTTTGCCCACCCCTGTATATGTGTATTTAAATATAAAACTAATTCTATGGACTGTCACATACTCTGCTGTAGCTATATACATATGTTTAACTACAGATAGTTATCTTTAGATATACAGATCTTATACACATAGCTATGTATGACTAAAAGCATAGTATCAAGAATGTTCCATCTGGCCTGTTCCTTAAACTAAACTCTGCTGAAATGATTCCAGACAAATGTGTAGGCTATTCCCAAAGATCTCCAGCAGATATAACAGCCTCTGAGTGCCTTTAAATGTTAATGCTGCCGGCCACTAAGGCTCCAGTGCTGAGGCACAGCTTCAGGTATGTCAACTGTGTGAACTTAGCAAGTCTTTCCACCCATCCAAGCTTCTGTTTTCTGAGCTGCAAATGGGGGATAAAAGTCACGCTTTCCTCGTGGAGTTGTTGAGAAGATTGGATGATGTATGTCAAGCTCTTAGCCTTACACCTGGCTGTTAATGTGCAGCCTGTGGGGCTGGACTATTATTATGACTGTGGGCACCGGAATGAAAAGTCTGGTCGGGTGAGGTAACAACCTTACCCGGTTCAATGCTGCTTTGCTCCATGAAAGTCTCCGTGACAGATCCTCCCCAGCACCTTAGAGGACCTGCCAAGCAACCTTGTGCCCGTCACTGCTCAAACTCCTGTTTTACTAGCTCCGAGTCAGGGCCATGCAGGTGTCAGTGGCAACACTGCTTCTGTGGGTGTATAGAAGATTGTCTTCCATGGGTGCAGTCATTAAGCATCTTACTCTCTTTTTTTTTGTTCTAAAAGAACTGCCCTAGATCACTGAAAAAAATGAACCAGAATCAAAAGGGAACCAGCAAAAACTGGAGTGCTGGATGTGAGGCCACAGAGGACAGCAGTTTATAGATCGCTGGATATTAAAACATGGCTCTTGGCCTCCCTTCCAAATACAACAGTCTCCTGATGATTAAAATGTAACGTGCAAAGGTCCTGGGGCCATTTTTTGTCATCATGCTCTCCTTCTGCATTATATTATCATGGTTCGGCATTGGCAGCTCTAGAGCCCGGTGGCATTTTTTAAAGCACTTCAGCAGTACTGCTAGCAGCCTGTGCTCTCAGGGGAGCCACACTCTTCAAGGGGCACACGTCCAGAGGCGCTAGCTTATGTGTACTTCTCCCAGACCGAGCGATGTTTGACAAGATGGGCAGTCCTGGGCTTTACGCTGCTGTCTCTGACATGTGGCAAGAGTCCTACCTATCCCGGCGACCTCCACCAGCTGCCCTGTCGATACGTCATCAGGCACACGACACCCACTCTGGCCTGACGGTGTGATTTGTACGCAGGTGTCCAGGAGGCCGTGGTGAGCTGCCTGAACAAACAGACGCGGGAGCCTGCTGATGAGAACCTGTGCGTGACCAGCCGCCGGCCCCCGAAGCTCCTGAAAGCCTGCAGCCTGGACCCCTGCCCATCAAGGTAACAGGCATGTTGCCTGCCGGCCTTGCTGCCCAGGAGCGTGTTCGGAGCTGGGCGTGTCTGTCCGTGGGCAAGACCAGAACGCTTATTGTTACCCAGTGTTTTGAAAACCAATTAGCATCAGTTCAAACTGTGAGTCAAATCCACTTAAATTTAATTGAAACCAGGGCTTTGGAATTCCAGCCCAATGGTCATGCTCAGGGTCCAGGAGGCTCCGTGCACTGAAGCAAGTCCCGTGGCATGGCTGGGATGTGCACGTGCCGCGTGGCAGCTTTCTCCTGGGGGGCATATGAACTGACCACAGACTTCATGGTCTCTGCCACCTTTTAGCCTGTGTCCCGAGCCCTCACACCACAGTGGTGGATTGGCTCACAGAGCATCTGGGTGGTATAATTGATCCACTGTAAATCTTATGCACACAGCAGGCAGATTCATTATAGCATGCTCTGGGGTGTATGTGTGTCATTTCACATGCATAAAATCAATTAGAGCATTTTATTGTTCAGCCCTGCCTGGGTCTCATTATTACCCAACCTTGGGTCTAAGTCAGTCAATCCAATCACTGCCTCAGTCCACACAATTTTATGGTGTCTTGAGAGACTTGCCTTCTGACACTTCTTTGGAGCAAATCTCTGTAGAAGCTAAACCATCTCATCTATGATTCTGGTTCTAAAGGGAGATGTTTAAGGAACCAAAGCCAGACTTTCAAGTTGGCTGATGGGATGAAGAATGGTACTAGATAAGGAAATGTCCTAGATATGAAGGGGAATGCTGTTTCTGAATGGGATCTCTTCTCTTTCTGCAAAGTATCCTGTAAGAAGCCAGATGTTGTCTTCAGGAATTAGCAGTAATTTGCTGATCAACTTGATGCTGTTTGTCTCATTTCTCAGCAAACTAGGTGCCTTCCTTTCTTTGGGACTTAAAGGGTATTGCTTACAGGCCTCCTCAGATAAGATCAGGGCACAGCCTCACAGTGACACTCCTGCTGGTCACCAGAGTTGGTCTACATATTGATCTGAATGGTGGGCCTGGATTCCCCTTCCAAAGGCAGAAGTGAGGAGGGCTACTAGTGCCATATTCTCCAAAGGAACCAGGAAATCAGTCAGCCACTGCTTGGAGCAGCACTCCACTCATGAGAACGGCAGCCAGTAAAACAGAGTCAAGGGCTCGACCCAGAAAAGCTAGATCCAGTACGTGGAATACTGAGAAACCTCTTTTCTGTTTCTACCTGACCTAAATTTACATCTCGGTCCTAACCTCACTGTTCTCTAGTTGGGTGAACCTAAGACCTAATTACATGGGCAAGGAGTATAAACCCCTTCTACTTGACAGTGTTGTACTCACCTAGGAAGAAGCTGAGTGGTTTCGGCGTGGACAGCCGGCTAGGGCCTGGGCTAACACAGAGCCCTGGTTTCCCATCCTAGCTCTGTTACCACTAGCTGTGTGGCATTAGGCAAGGTGCCTGCCCTTTCTGTTTCCACATCTGCAAAATGGTCTGAGGTCACCACATCCTGCTCAAATATCCTCTTAGTCTTCATTCTTCTGATTATTTTGTAGACAGAAGAATGAAGGCTACTGCTGCTGCTTTATTGTGCTGATCATTGATGTCATTTCTGTCTGCTTATTTACTATCACTTTAAAAACAAGCATCAGTTTCTTTCTAACCACATTCCAGGGTTGTAATGACATCCAAATGCTGGGATGAGCTGAAGCAATGTGGAGGAGTCAGTACCTGGGGCTAACTGGAAATCTGGGATTTGGAGCCACTAAACCCGTCCTTCCTGGGGCAGCAGAAGCAATAAGACACAAGATGTTACTTTTCGCCTTCCAAGTATTGGCGATGGTCAAATTAGATGAGCTTAATTTATATTGACTCCCGGACAAGAACTCTTGTTACGCTTAATTTGATTTCATTTGCTCCAGAGACGCTCGGTGCTTTGATTTTCCACTGGCCAGTTGTCAGACTGACAGGCAAGGCCTCTCTTATTGGGCACAGCCAGGGATTTCTTGGGCCAGCCATACACAGATGAGCATTTGTAAGTTGATGGTAATTAAAACAACAACGTGGGGGCACCACATGTACAGTGAACTGGTATGACTTGCTCTCTTTGTCCTGTCAAAGAATCAAAGCAGATTTTCATCTTAAAAATGAAAACGTGTGGAGGTGAACTCCTATGGAGTATTTCACTATGACATCAAGAGGGGAAAAATCTCTCTTTCTAGAGGTTGGTGTAAAATGTATATGAAAGAGAAAGTGTGTTTTGTAGGGGCATAATAGTGTAGTGGTGTTTTCTCAAACAACTTGTGTTCAGTTGGGAGTAATTTAAATCTTTGATTCACAGAAATTCTTATTGTGCATGGATCAGTGTTTCCTGCACATTTAGGGTGTCCTCTGCTGAACCCCAAGTTTCTATACACTGTCTTTTGGGCTCTTCGTCTGTGCTGATGTCCATGTGCTCAAAAAAGCATAACATTTCCCGTAGGACATACAGAAATGCTGTTTCAAGTCTTGGTGACTGGGCTCATGTCTCTGAGAGGAGGCCTCTGGTTAAGTAGCTTTCCCTAGCAGTTGTCAGTTCTACTGAACACCAGTTGGGAAGTCGCTTTTGCTCTTGTGTGTCGTCAGAGTTGTCAGATCACCAAGTAAATACCAAGGCCCCACAGCATGTCCTGTCTGCACAGTCTCTCCAGGATTACCCATCCCTTCTCCCGACTTACTCTGTGTGAATGGCAGAGCTGGTATCAGAAGCACATGTCCAACTTTCACCAGGTCCAGTCAGTTGTGTTCTCACACCTAGCTGTTCACAGCAGGAAGGGTGTATTCTCAAGCTAGAGATACTCTCCTGCTATTGCCATTGTGTGCGTATATGAGCATACGCACTAACTGCCTGCATTTTTTTTTTAGCGCACTTTAAAAATAGCAGTTATCTGTTGAAGAGAACTATATTTTAAAGTCCTTGCTATCAGCTTTATGTCCAACTCCTCTCTCTACAACGAATGCCTAGTAAAATGTCTGACACACAGCAGGGGCTTATTAAGTGTTTACTGAATAAATGAGTATAAAGGACTGGGCTAAATTTATAAGTAGTAGTGTTTAGACTCTATTATTAATGCTAGCTGGGAAGACCCAGTGCTGTCTGCTCTCAATCCCCCTTACCCCCTCTCTCCACCTACCAGATGGTACTGAAATGCCATTATTAGAGTCCCTTCCTTCAGTTGAATGCTTTAAATACCAATTTAAAATATAAATAGCCTTAGGGTAAGTAACCCTTTATGTTAGCAATCACATATGGCAAAGTATCCTCAAAATAAGACTAGGAAGGCAAGCTTTAATACAAGGAATTTGGACACAATTATTGAATGAATTGTTAGCTTTGCCCAGAAAGGAGTTCGCTCATTGGGAGAGATGGAAGGTAGTGTGTGTCATGAGGGCAGGTGTTAATCTCTTAACAACCTTGCCTAAAATTGGCCAGAAGAAATTAGGATTAATTTTGCTTGTGAGCTGAAAGTGAGAATTTTACATCGAAGTTGATAGCATAGACGTTATCCTTACAAGGAAGAAAAAGCATTGCAGGCACCTTCACCACCATCTGAGTAATTTGTGTCCGGAAGCCCCACCAACTTGCCAGCCTTCACTAGTGGGTTAGACCAGCTTATGGGAGGAATATCCAAAAGGGAGCTAAGATCAGTCATTAGGAAAGAGGTCAGCCTCCTGTTCCCAGTGAGAAAGCTTTCTGAGTATTAGAGCAACTGTACAAGTAATACATGAATATTCTCGTTCTTTAAAAGTCAAGCATAGCAGAAGTGATCAAGAAAGAAAAGCGTATGCTCCCCTTTCTCCACCATGCTCTATAGTTCTCCCTTTTTATCGCCAAAGATAACCACTCTTATTGGTTTGGTACCGTTTTCTATGAATTTATATCCATATATTAACACATACAAACATACAAGGTTTTCTTCCCTTTGTAAATGGGGTCATGTTTATATCTTGTTCAGCAACTTGATTTTTTCACTCAGTTAATGTGCACTAAGGACCTTTCCATCCCTGAGACCAAAATAAAAACCTGCGGGCAGGTTGACACCTGTGTTCCAGTTCTGCCATGTCATGTTTAGCTGTGTGACCTTCAAGAGGTCATATACCTTTTTGGATCCTCAGATTCTTCATCTCTAAAAAAGGATCATTGTAGGCACTCAGAACAATTAATATTCTTCTCCTTCCCCTTCATTTCATGGTGAGAAATACTTTATTTTTAAATCAAACCATGTTTTGTGTTCAGAACTTAACTCAAATTTGATTAGTTTGTTCTCTTATTCAACGAAGGCTTTACTGACCATCTCCCTGGTTTATACTAGCAATGACATGAGCAGCCCAAGGAAAGCCAGAAACCACTACCTTAAGAAAGGGGGGAAAAAGAGTACGACTGTTATTAATTATAAGCATTTGATAGCTTGGCCAGTGTGTGTTGAAAAGATTTGGTAAACGTACCTGGAGGAGGGGAAAGAAGTAAGCAATGAAAGCCAGATGGCTGAAAATGAAGGAAATTCCAGGCAATTTCTGCAGCTTTGTTCTAACATACTTTTTAAACTAAACTTTTATTTTTCTGCAACAGAGAACAGCTGAGTGGTACAGAACAGATAAACAGTAAAGGTTGTGGGGGGGAGCTCATAATTCCAGGAACATTTCTTGGTTTCTGACCCCCACCCCACCTCAATCTCTTTTCTCAGACCTAGGGTGGTTCCTAGAACCAGTGAGAGCTACAAAAGAAGTTTGAGAACCTCGATTTGATATGAGAGAGTTAAGAAAAACATCTCAGAGGTCACAGAGTCTCCTCTATTAAAGCAAACTGCAGAATGCCAATTTCATTGTACACTAACAAAAGCCATGCGCACTAGCACCAAATGATTTCCAATTTCTAATTCTCTTTTATATTCTCCTGCAATGGCTTGAGCAGAAGGTGCTGCCTTTTTACACAACCACGCTTTAATTTATTTGTTGGAGC